GTGGTTGTGTTCCAGAAAATAAGAGGTCACTGCCAGTTGGTTCCTTTGCCTCCGTAGACAAAACCGCACTGGACAACTGGTGCTTCGCGTACTTCTTTTATTAGAAAATACACTAGGCTTACTAGCTTCTTCGGATTCCACGGCTTTCCGTTGGTCTTGGGCGCCTGCTGTATTTGTAGTACACCAATTCGTAACGCAAAATAATGTTGGTGCTTCGATTACTGGATGAACGCACAAATATCACAAAGTTGTCCTTCACGTATTCATTTAAGGTCTTCTCAAAGGCCGTGAAGGGTGAAAACGATACACCCACAAATTTCTCGAAAAAAAACCACTTCCGAAGCCATAGCAGACAAAGATCAAAGCCGAATGAGTGCCAATAATTTTCAGAAGAGATCGATTAAAACAAATCACAAAAATTGACGGCGGATGACGGAAGTTTTCAGCCTACGCATATATGCAAACAAGTGCAATACCTTGACGTTAAAGTTTTTATTTCGCCCGCAGGGGTTTTGCAGAAAAATGCATTGTGCGTCTAGCCGCTGGCATCCGCAGGATCCCGATAAGTAGCTCTTCAAAATTGGCGCGTGCACAATTATTAGACAACAATTTTTCTCATTTCGCAATGGCTTCTGGAATAACTTTCCGTCCACTCTATATTGCAGGCTCAGTTCATCCGTAGCTGCTGGTTTTGAACTGGCTACTGGTTTGTGAGCTAACTTCACGACGCTGGGAACTTAAAAAGCTGTTTCACAACATTTTTTCGCTTTGTCTTTTGGGTGGACCGGAGCCTCTGAAAGACAATCACAAACCGGACCTGAGGAGTTTGGGCGAAGGCCTCAATCCTTAGTGTTGATCGGCGCTCTGTGCAACGACGATCTCGATTCGCAGCGCGTTTTTTGACTGATGCAGTCCCCCAGATGATGTGCAATGGAATTGGAAAATATCGTGGCCAATACTGTATATATAAAGGCAAAAAAGAGTAATATCTTTATATTTCATTTGAAATGAAGTTCTCAGGTGGCTTAGATAAAGACAAAGGAAGGAGCAAGAAATGGAGGACTCTCCTAGCGTTTCAGCACATTGTTTCTTGCGAATACTTGCGGAATGACTTAGGTAAATCAATAGATTTTAAAAAAGTTACCGAAGACCTGACGTATGGCTATATTGTCGTTCAGCAACCTATCGGGAAACGACTTTTCTGGATGTTCTGCAAAAATAATAGTCACTTCAGCCCCGTTCTGCGATTATTTGATCTTATCGTAACCCATTTTCGGTATATCCAGCCAAATTTTTAGAGTGAATACCAGGTTTGTCACGATACAGAGAGATCTGGCGTCGCATTAGAGCTATTGAAGCATCTGTCCGTCCCAGAGGTATCTTTGTTGCACACTTTGAAATTTCCAGAACGAATCCCAATGGCTCGATATAATTGGACCTGATAACGTCAGTGAATTCATTCGGCTTTTATCAGATGCTACGGAGAATGAAGACGTACCGGAGGGGTTCCTGAAACTAGTGGCGAGGTAAACAATTCACTGTTGTACGACCCATTTTCTAGAGAGTTGGAGGACTATTTGGAGGGCGAGCCGTTCAGCTGCTTTTTGAATTCACTTTACTTCGATCGCTACCTACAATGGAAGGCACTAGAGAAGTGAGTCCAGTTTATCCGGTCTCCCGTGTGCTCGCGGAATCTTCGAATACCGCGTTCATGATTAGTGTAGCTGGTAACCAAGCTTTCCTTTCGATATATCTACGACTGTTTATCGTAAAAAAATAAATAGGTTTGATAGGATCTGGTACAACTGGCGTGTTAGCGGTCCCCTCTCTGAGTTACCTTTCTATCGATTTGGGTTACTTTTACGCCCAGTACAGCGTCATTTTCTCTGTTGGCATTCATAGGATAATCAACACAGATTAGGGTAAGTCAGATATCACCTTCCTTTCCCTTAGGTACGTTTCCTTAACCATTGCCAGCCAGTCAGAATTACGAATGAAATCGGAACTCCTCTTTAACGTTACCCGTTTCAATTTTGAAGTAGTACGAAGCGGGGCAGGACTATCCGTAAAGTTCGGTTCTGGGGAGTCTTGGCAAGACACCTCCAAGCCTCTGAGAAAATGGATGTCAGTGTCGCTCTTGAAAATCTCATTAGGTGTTTCGATTGTGGGTTCCAGGAGGCGGTTCCAATAGTTTACTCTGTGGCTGGATAATGAAACAGAAAGGCGCATCTCGTCGGCGTGAGCGATTTCAAGCTGTGTCCCCGGGTTGCTGATTCATCGTTTAGCCTGAAGAAGCACCACAGTTCTTGCGAGAGTGTTATGCGTATAGGTTAGATCCCTCGGCTTCACGTTAACTCCAAGCTGAGGTGTTTCAGAGAGCTTGTTTAGGATCAACTTCGCGGATGAAGCTTAACCTTGGAACTTCTGTGTTTACCCTTCCTCTGAGTTTGTCTTCGTGCTTGGTTAACGAATAAGAGGCAGACAAGCCGCGCTCAAGAATTTGTCCCACGTTAACAGAAAACAGTCGCCAGAATGATCTAGTCGTTCTAGGCAAGGATCTTGTCGCCCACCTTAACCTCGACGCCACGAACACACTTTTCATGGTGTCCGGGACCGATTTCAGGTCGAAGAAAGCAGTGATACATAATTCTTTTTTTCCTGAGGAAAAGCCACCAACTTGCCATACTTGTCAGTCTTCAGTGCTAAAATGACCCCATAGGTTACTGTAACTCCGTCCTATAAGGAACACAAACGGGGAGCAGTCAGACATGATCTCTCATGCACCCTTGCCAGGTCAAACGTCTACCGCCTCTCTGCTTCTGCCATTCCGAATTTGACACGGAGAGCAGCACTGTTTTCGGAAAACGATGGTTCGGCCTGCACAATACATGACCTCACCAACACAGTTTCTGGTGTTGAGCACATTCTTCGATGGAAGTCTCCGTTACACAACCGAACATTCGCTTTCCACCCACTCATATGAGCTATAGTTTTGAGACAGCGGTCGTTGAACGACTAAATGCGTCTCAGTTCCCATGCTCGAACACGCCAAGTGTCAGCCATACAACAAAATAACCCGCACTGTAGCCTGGTACACGTTCTTCCGGATTGAGGGATATACCACTTTGACGCCATAAGTTTCTCTACCCTACCCTTGGAGATTCATGCCTCAAACTCATCCCTCACACTACAAGCAGAACTTATACAACTTTCAAGGTGACTAAAACACTCCACAGCTTTGAGCGCCTCTCCCTGGATTAGGAGTGGCGTGTTCATTGACTGCACTGCCAGATGCATGACCTGCTATCCGTGGGTGCAAATTGCATACCGAAGGACGAATGATTCTGGTCATTTAATGCATAAACCCCTGCGACTTCTCTTCGGAGACAAGAACGATGTTGTCTGCATTTTTCAGATCGAAAGGGTTTTTGTCAGTGACCATCTGAGCACCAGGATATCGTAGACATTTTGGTGTACGTCTCATTATCTCACCGATCGTGAAGTTAAGCAAGAAGAATAGGCAAGAAGAATCGCGCACCCGTGGCGGACACCGCTTTGTGGACAGAAGCTTCCGAAGGGCTCTTACGCTCGGAAGTCTGAGAAAAACAAATTATTTCCATAAATTTTCGGGGTATTCATAGCTGGGCAAGCGTTTCAAGGAAAACAGATCAAGCCAATTGATTCGAGTGCCTATTCGAAATCCATGGTCGTTTGTATGTACGGTGTTATTCTAGCACCTTTCGGAGTGTGAAGATTTTTTCAACTCAAGCCCTATCAGGCCGGAACCTACGTGCTGCTCTCGAGTCACTGTTTTACGAGCCACCATAAGGCGAAGAAGCACAAGTGACACCAACAGTCTCATTACAAACGGGGTCAAGCTGACCCCCCGGAGGTCTTCCATTTCCTTGATCTTCCGTGTCCACCGGTCTTCCCGGTTGTCGCGCACGTTGATTTTCGCTTGACATCTAATAATTCGTCGGGTCGGATTATGGTACGGCCCTGTGGGAACATAACTCTGATATACAGGCGTGAACCTGTTCTGTCTGCTGTCAGTGTTGTTCGGTTGTGCAACGGGTACTTCCATTGAAGAATGTGTCCAGCACCGGAAACTGCATTGGTTGGAACATGTGTTGCATATGCCGAGCTATCGTTTTTCGAAGAGTGCGGTTTTCACTGCCCAACTCAGGGTGGCGTAAACAGAGAGGTGGCCAACCCTTGACTTGGCAGAGGAGTATGGAAGAGTTCACGAAACGCTTGGGTGCTGTCGGTGCTACTCGCCTTCCAGGATGGGGACTAATAATGATGTTGCTGTCTTTGTTGAAGATGATGAGGAGAGTTATTGATGGGGTGGGGAGAGGGGGAAGAAAAAGTATGCGAAAGAGAAAGAAGGGAGGTATTAGCAATAGCCTGTTTTCGCTATCCGCCCTGCTGTCTGCAGGAAGTAAGGCGACCCGGCTGTTGGCGCCACGCGAAGGCCAATGTGGCATGAGATTATTGTCAGTCGTGAATGTCATAGTTGTACGAGGGCTGGGATACTGCCAGGGTGCCCATACATAGACAGGAGGACGATTAGGGTCCTCAACCAAAGCCTTTGGCTGAAAAGTCTAACCGCAAGGCAGCGGTGTTTGGCGGGAAGTGCAATTGCTTTACCATTTCTACGGAACAAGTCGCCACATGTTCCAACCCCCAACTTGAAGGACCAGCAGACTGTGTGTGTCACGGGGACACTCCCCAGTATAGCTCAATGGATCGCTGAGGTGCGCAAACCGTCACACCACGGTAAGGTCCAGTCTCTTCGTGACCGATCGTGTTTCGTGGTTCACCGCAGTTGATAGCTGACTAAATATGGGTCACTTACCTGTAAGCTCCTCTTGTGCAGTATAAAATTGCATCAACATATCGAAACTGAAAAGGTTTCCGATATTTTCGTTAACCTATATCGATCGAGCTAACGATATAGAACTGTATGGGTCCTACACAACAGACCCACTTCAGGTAACCGCACTAATTCGTCCACGATTAGACATTCGGTTCACACAGAACTTTTGGTGTAGTGCGTGCATGAAACCACTTGCGACTGTCGAAATTCACCTAGGCCAGCTGTATTTGTCTGTTGACCGGTCTAAGACAAAGTTCGATCTGAGATGATCAGTATTGCTTGATCAGGGACCAATCGACTCGTTCAGCTGTAACATACTTTCGGTGCCTAGCTGCCATGCCACCCGAAGAAATCACGAGGTCTGAGACGAAGCGTAGACAGAAGCATTTAAGATGCGAGAGTCGGGCTCGAACCGCCGGCTCCTCATTAATAAGCTTTTGCCTTAACCGCTGAGTTCTGTGCCCTGTTTCTGAAGGAGATGTGTACAGATGTTCCGCAATCAATCGAGCCTTGCTGGAGAATTGTCTGGCTGACATTTGCAATGACTCAACAGATTCGTCCACCAATAGGAGCCTGGCCAACACAACCCCCTGGCTCTGTAGTTTAGAGTGGGAGCATGTTTGACAACTTGATCCCACAAACTGTATTACTCTAGCGGTTCTTTGCTAATCGCTGCTGACTTGCTGTTATGCTTTTAAGCCAAAGGCTTCGGTTGCAGTCCTTTATCGTTCTTCTGTTTAGGTCTAGTTCATGTGCGGTTTCATATGCAGCCGTTCCTGTAGGCTTTCTCGTCCCTTCCGTGGACCCACGCCAACCTTTCTGAAAATGAAGTATTTTTAGTACAAGGCAGCTTATCGTAGTCCGTGCTGCTTCCATTTTTCATATCGTTGTCACCTTACATTTTAATGAACAAACCACTTTACTGTAGGGGAGAATGTTGGTAGCTCTGGTAATGTCGATGGTCGTTGGTTTGTTCGCAGAGTTGGGCAATTTGATTGCAAACGTTTAATCACCAGTCGACCTGATATCTTCAGTACGTTGTTAGAGTGCCTAGAGATGGGTCTGTGTCTGTTCACAACCACTACTGGGAATGTTGTCACGAGTGTTCTTTTGAAACCCGATCACTCAATGTCTACTCATTGCTAATCCACTGTCTGCTTACATCTTTTTACGTTCAGGACCCCGGTGACCAAGCATACCTTCCGAATGTACAGAGTTCTGGGGAAGGGGGGATTCGGCGAAGTTTGCGCATGTCAGGTTCGTGCTACGGGGAAGCTTTATGCATGCAAGAAACTAGAAAAGAAGAGGATGAAGAAACGACATGGAGAGAATATGGCCCTTACAGAGAAGGAGATATTACAGAAAGTCAACTCTCCTTTTGTGGTGCGTCCTTTAGTTTGAATTTCTTCATGTTCGTGAACAAGATAAATTCTGTTTGGTTCTTTCCGCTCACACGCAAGGATTGACTTTTGAGTTCGTCTGTGAGCCCCCTGTTAACTTGTACACTTTGCACCGCAACGGCCTCCTTACGTTATTTACCCTCCTCCCTATTCCGGTTTGTGGAATTCGTTACTGTTTCTTTGTGGCTAAGTGTGATGTGACAAGTCTAATGCTCTGTCGTGCGTTTTTAAAATAATTTCCTCGTAGTTGGTTACGGCGGGCAATCGTGTTGCCCCACGACAGTGGACGCCGGCTTACATGTCTCGGGACTATATGGTTGTCCGACATGGTAGGGTTCTTTCGATGGATCATTCCTCCAACCAGAAATGTAGGACGAGATCGCTGTTGCTGATCCTTGTTTGGTGAAGTGCCGCGCATCTATTAGCACGCCAGCCCTAGAAGGGCTTGATGCTGGATCCAGCACTTATGTATAGAGACTGGGTAAGCTGTGTGTGCTTTAAGGGCATGAACGGGGAACGATAATGTTTTTACCTTAATTTGATATTGGGACTGTTCTCAAGCTCTTGTGTCCTCCATATCGGTAGGTCCATTTCGTTTATTGCTAACACAACTAATTGTATTGTTGAACAAGTTGTTTCAAAAAGGAGGCGAATTTCTGGAGAACGCTGTCGTGGGTGTTTTTTGGTGAGGTTTCCTCGTATTATCATGTGTTTTTTCCGCTCAATCGGTCATCTCTACCCCTAGCACTTGACAGCGTAACAGAAGTTACTTTTCCTGGTTGGCCTAATGGGATTGCCGCCTAGTCTACTGCCTCTGTTGCATAGAATCGCTCGCTCTACGAGAAACGTCGATCTGATCCTATAATGACCTCCGTTTTTCAATAAACCCCGCTAGTGTGTGAACGTCTACTTAACCGTTCCCTAACCAATCATCATCATCATTATCAGCTGTAATAACCGCGTACTGGTCGTACACTGGTTGTAGCTGTCACAGTTTCGTTCACCGATGATTGGGGGGTAAGTAGCTGCGCATTGCACGCGCGAGCTGGTAAATTGGTGCATAAATCCAGCACTGTCAGTGAGTTGTCAAGCGGGGGGGGGGGGAAAAGAAGCTATGCATTGAAGGCAATAGCTTGGATGCACGAGCGCCACTGAGGGCGCGACTGGGCCATGTCTGATAATGTCTCTAGCCATTGATGTGGCCCGTCTCGGGGTCCCCATCCAGGAAGACGGCAGTGACCAGCGCAGCTGAGTTTGCTGGTAATGGCCTTCATACTTCGCTGCCAAGTCATTGTTTGACCGCCTCTGGCTCTCTTCCACCCTTCACATGGTTGGGCGAAAAGAGCCCTTCGAGGAAGTCGGTCGATTGGCATACGCAGCACGTGGCCAAGCCAACGCAACCTGTGCAGTGTGATCAGTTCATCTATCGAGGGTAAGTTATTTCTCCCGAATACCATTCGACGTACTTCAGAACTGCTGATCCGGTGTTCCCACCAGATTCGGGCAATGCTCCGAAGACATCGATGGTCAAACACTGATGGAAACACCGGATGGAAATATCATCTTTCGCGAGACCACCGGGACTGATACAGCTGCCCAGGTAGACAAATTTGTCTACTACCTCAATCGGTTCATCCGCAAGCATGAGGCTAGGGTTCGAGCCCACCCAGTCTTGCAGTAGCACTTTACACTTTGCAGGTGTGAAGCGCATAC